GGTTCAGAGGGAGAGTCAGGTACTTGGGGAGATACCAAGTTTAGCAAAGATACGGCCTTTATTCACCTTCATGGGAGTTCATGGTCTAGTAGGAGGATAAGTTCCTATCACAGATACCTATAACATACAGAATTTTAAGAACATAAATTTTAGAATTGGAAGGGACCTGAGAAATTATCTAATCCAATCCTCTTATTTTACAGATTTTATAAGCTGAGGCCATAGCAGGTTAAGTGACTCACCACAGATCATACAGGGCATAAATAGCAGAGCCAGAATTGGAATCCAGGTCTTCTGAATCCAAAGCCAGGGCTCCTGCATAAATTCATCAGAGAGGTACAAAATATAGTGCTATGTGAAGCTTACAGAGGAAGTTTGTTGTCAAATGGGAAGAGAAGGAGCCCATCAGGGAAGGCTTTTTAATGGAAATAGCCTCTGACTTAGGCAAAAGGAGGTAGGGAAGACATCCAGAGCATGGAAGATAATGTAAGCCGACAACACAGAAAAGTAAGGACATGGGATATGTTTGAAGCTCAGAGAGCAGTCTTGGAAAATCTTAAAAGAAGGCAGGAGACAAAAGGGTATTTTGACCTTTTCCTTGGGAACCCTAGTACTCACACCATCTCACATGTCAGACAGCCCCCTTAAGGAGCAGGTTCTCAGAGCTGCTTCATGAGAATGTTAATCACACATGAATGGATGTCAAGGAGAGCCATGGTGATATAATTATGATGAAATATTTGCCCTTATCCTGGGAAAGGAACACCTGTAATGCAGTTTCCAACAGCAGACTTTTCTTTAGGTTTAAAAAATGCTGTCTCACCCCGTAAACTTTCACCAAGCTGTGTATACAATCCTTGGCACTCCTAGGAGCCTCTTTGTATACCGTGCCAGGTGCCTCCTTGTGGGCTGAGCGAGCCAACTTTGGTTCTCATTGGTTAAACCACCATAAATTATAAAAATTTCCAAAACAGCTTAATGCCCATTTATGACCTGTGTAACTGAACAAACCACTGAACCTCTGAGCTTTTTCAGTTGTTAGGCCATTCCTAGAAATTTTCAAGACCCTGGACACATGAAGAGCTGTCTTTGGGCAAAGAGATTAGACTTGTTCTTCTTCACCTTAGCAGACAGAACAAAAAGTGGTCGTTCAAAGTGGCAGAGCATTTGATTTCTGTTCCATGTAGAATGCAAGCTCCTTGAGGGCAGGGATTATTTTGTCTTTGTCTGTCAGTGCCTGGCATGGAGTAGGTCCTTCATACATGTCTATTGACTGAATTCTTGACCGAATATAAGAAAAACTTGATAACAATCAGAGCTTTCCCATGTTAGAATAGCTTTGTCTCAAAGGGTGGTGAATTTGCTGTGAGGGGAGATCTTCAAGGAGAATTTGGATGGGAATGCCAAGGATTTCATGAAGGGCATTAAGGCTCTGGTGTGAGTGGGATGAAATGATCTCTTTCAGCTCTGAGATTGTAGGGTCCTATGAATCACTGGGTGGGTAGCCACTCTATGACAATTATATCTCCCTCTAAAATTTTTTAAGCAAATTAAATCTGGTTTAAATAAATGTATTGAGTGGTGTCATAGACAGAAGAGACTGTGGCTACAGGCAGAAAAGACCTACCTGCTTAGCTCTGGTCAGATAGAAAGAGGCATGTTAAAGGTTGACAGCAATTGCTTTTTCTAATAGTTTCATATTTTGTTGTATTCTTAGCCTGGTTCTCTGTCCTCCACCATCTCCTCCTCCTCCCCTTCCTTCTTTTAGCCTGCCTATTTTCCTCTGCCTGGGCTGAAAATTTGCTGTTTCAATGACTGCTGCTAAATGCAAAGAGTATGACTCAATCTTCACCAAAAACAAGGAGGTGAAAAGTCACTGAGGTGAAAAAGAAAGAAGAGAAAACAGATGCTCTCTGAACTTTAATCACAAGGAAGCATCAGTGTAATGCTAAGGCAGTGCTAAACGTGGAGGCTGAAGACATGAGGTTCAGATCCCAGCCCTGACACTCGTTATGCGACCACTGACAAATTGCTTAAATACCCTGATCTGTCAGGATCCTGAAGGGTAATACTTCCTTACCTGTCTACCTCACAGGGTCAGTACGAACAAAGCACTGGACAGAGTCGCTAGGTCAGCAAGCATTAACTGAGCCGTTCCTCCGTGCCAGACGCCATGCTGGGTGTGAGGGTTACAAAGACAAAGCAGGCAGTCAACCTCTGCCCTCGAAGACATGAAATAGGAGCTGCTGTTGTCGCTGTTCATGATGCTGATGTTGTCGTCTACCAGTTGACCCAGCCTCCTCCATTCCCCACCCCCACATTTCTCTAGAACATCATTCCCGAAAATCTCATTTCTCTTCTATTATTCTAGCCCAGAATATCTCACATTTCTGCACATCTCCTAGACCCCCGGACTAACTCTGCATCAATAGATTGAAATGCTGTACACGTGAAAACAAGTTTTTTAAAGGGCTCAACCATATGAATATATGGATACTGAACTCAGGAGACCTGGGTGCATGTACTAGGTTAGACACTAACTTGCTGTATGTGACCTTGAGAAAGTCAATTTTACTGCAGTGGGCTTTAATATCTCCTGTAAAATGACAAAGGTAATAGAGAAGGGAACAAGAATTTAAGTGCTTTACTATATGTTAGGAACTATACTAAGCACTTTACAAACAGAATTTCATTTGACCCTGTAAGGTATCCTCATTTTACAATTGAGGACACTGAGGCAGACAGAGGTCAAGTGGCTTGCCCAGGGTCACAAAGCTAGTAAATATCTAGGGTTGAATTTGCATTCAGGTCTTTCTGAATCTAGGCCCAGCCAGCATTGTCACACCACACAACCTACATGCCTAATAGGGCCACATACTCTCTAAGCCCCTTCTACATCTGTCATCCCATGTATCAATGTCCTTCCCAGCCATAATACTCTACCCTAAGAGCCTTTACAGCTCCCATCCTATGTTCTTTATTTTAAGGTCTCTGCCAGGTGCTCCATTTAGTGATTCTATGATTCTTACAACCAGCAGGGGTTAGAAAAGATCTAAGGCCCTCATATCCATTCAATATCTGCAACACAATAAATAGCAGGCCGCTTGGCAACCACCTTCCTCCATCCTTCTACATCACCTCCCTTCTACAAACACACACACACGTACATGCACACACACACACACACACACATGTGCACACACATGCACACACACGTGCACACATGCACACACACACACACACACACACACACACACACACACACATAGCTGAGCTAGGGAGAATAAGGAGAGAAAAGGGGATAGATGGGAGATGCTGTGAAGGTTATTGTTGTTCAGTCGTGTCTGACTCTCCGTGACCCCATTTGGGGTTTTCTTGGCAAAGATACTGGAGTAGTTTCCCATTTCTTTTCTGGCTCATTTTACAAATAAGGAAACTGAAGCAGACAGGGTTAAGTGACTTGCCCAGGGCCACACAGCCAGTAAGTGTCTGAGGCCAGATTTGAACTCAGGAAAATGAGTCTTCCCTGACTCCCAGTCCAACACTCTAAGCACTGCACCACCTAACTGCCCCAGAATCAATAGAGCTTGATAAGTAATTAAATCTGTGGATTCAGGAATAGAGAAGAGTCAAAGATTATGTTGGGATTCTAAGACTGGGTGAGTGGGAGGATGGTGATACCATGAATTGAGATTGGAAAGTAGGGAGGAGGGACAAGTTTCAGAGGAAGATGATGAGTCCACTTTTGGACACGGGAATGGGGTATCAGCAGGATCCTTTAATATATACAACATGGAGTATTAGACTGGAAGCACACATCAGAATCAGGACGTTTGCCTTCCTCTGGTCCTGTGCCATGTATGTTTCTTTCTGTGGTTCAGCAAGCATAGAAGTCATTCGTTCAATGTCTTGGCCTGACACTCGGCTGGGTTTGGTGGCCTGAGATCTGGGCAGCTAAGTGCTCTCTTACTCTCTCTGTACTCATCTTGGGGGATTCTTCACAGTAGCCATTTTTGTTCTGTCCTTCCTAGTCATAGGATCATGGATTTGGAGGTCATTTAATTTAATCTCCTCATTTCATAGATTGTGTGAGGTCTGTCCTTTGTTCTCAAAGAGGACCATGACGTCAGGGAGATGATGACATGACTTGCAATTGACTTTGTTCTGAGTGAGTGAAGGCTGTGCGAGGTCACCAGCCTTGCTTTCTTCTCCAGAGCCTTGTGGGTCCAGTAGCCAAATATCGATCGGGACAACTGCAGATGGCCCAGGATGCAGGGGAGAGACCTTGGCCCTTTTAAGCTAAGGTCTTTTCAGGTTTTCACTTTGAGTGACACAACACCCATTCAATGAATAGGCCTCTTAAAGAAGTGTGTCAAGAGGAACAGCTAGGAGGCACAATGGATAGAGCACCGGCCCTGGAGTCAGGAGGACCTGAGTTCAAATCCAGCCTCAGACACGTAACACTAACTAGCTATGTGACCCTGGGCAAGTCACTTAACCCCATTGCCTAGACAAAAAAAAAAAATGAGTCAAGGGATGGCATCTTTAATAAATAAATTATATATCTATATCTATATCTATCTATCTATCTATCTATCTATCTATCTATCTATCTATATATATATATATATATATATATATATATATCTCAATCTGAGAGGGGAAGACCTTCAGGGTTGCTGGCCAAAAGAGAAACAATTACTATTTACATGCACTCAAAAAATAACCATTAAGTCATGCTTGGGCAGGGATATATTGTTGTTCAAGCCATGAGATCCAGAGTGAATTGGGTATAAGGCTTGGTGCTCAGTAAACCCCAAGTTAACTGGGTAGCTTTCAGCCATGGAAATTTACCTTCCTTTGAGCAGAACAGAGAGGACAGGACAGGAGAGGAGGAGCTGAGTGGCCCGACGGGAACTGACCAGCTGGGTCCCCATCCAGGCAGTTTGCACCACTCACAGGTGGAGGAGGCAGTGGCCCAGCAAGGTGGAGTCACTCACCTGGGGACGTGCAGGTAGTTAGAGTCGACATCATCCTCCTCCACTATCACCGTCTTATCGTCTCTCTTCGATTCTCCTATTCTTCCAGATACGTCTAAAAGAAAAAGAAATCCCTGTGTTTTGAGCCCAGCATTTGTTGCCACTCCTACCTCACTCTGAGGGCCACTCCACAGTGTGGATTTATACTCTGCTACTTGATATGTTCTTTTCAATTGAAGCTAATGGATGAACTCATCCTATGCATTCATATCACACAGCTTCTCTTTTTCTTGCTCCTAGCAATTGCTTCTATTTGTGTCTTCAGAATTTCATTCTTGAGATTTTCCTGTCCTTCCTAGGCTAACTTTCCCTGTAGAATATTAGTCCACAAGATCCTACTACCTAACCTTTCTCTGAACTCTTAAATCTGCTCTCCAAAATCTAGGGTGCCTCTCAGATGACGTCTGACTTTCTTCTTTTTCCAACACTAATGTTAACTGCAAAGTTATCTTCAACATCCCTCTTTTTTTTTCAATAATCCATTTTTTCTTGTTGGTGAAAATCAAGTTTAAAAAAAAATATCACAGATATCCCATCACATTTAAAGGATGAAATCTTCATTAAAGGAAGTTAAGATCAATTAGCTGCTTTCGGAAGAGAGCTCCAGCAGATGTCTATTTAATTGAAATATGCCTTCTCCTTGGGCTTGTGATCTGTTTTCTGATTTTTTCATCTATTTCTTCTTTCTGTCCAAGTGGTCTAAAGTATACTCATACAATACTCTTTGCCTCCTAAGTTCCCTGGCTTCCTTCAAGTCTCAGCCAAAATCCTACCTCTGCAAAAATCCTTTCCTAGGTTTTTTCTTAATAGTAGTGCCTTCCCTCTAAGATTACCCCATACATATCCTGTACAATTACCCTGTACATATCTTTTTGTGTGTATGTATGTGTGTATACACATGTATATACGTACACATACTTTGCATGTGTCTATATATCTATATATAATATACTCCTATACGCATATATATGTGTGTATATATATATATGTATATATATATGTATATATATATATGTATATATATATATGTATATATATATATATATTTCAAATATATCTGTAGTCTTTCACTAACTAGAATTCATGTCAACAACTGGACACACACACACGCACACACATATATATATATACACATACATATATATGTAAAGAGAGAGTTTGTGTGTATAAGTGTGAATACATGCACATATGTACATAATATACTTTGGATATATCTATATGTAATATATGTATAGTTCACATATATGTAGTTCATTCACTAATTAGGACACTTGTCAACACCTTGATACATACATAAACACACACATAGAGAGTTTATGGTTTTATATATGTGTGTGTGTGTTTGTATATCTGTATGTATGTATGTGCGAATTTGTTTGCATGTTGCTTCCCCCCTCATTAAGGAGAGCTCCTTGACAACAGAGTTTATTTTTGAGCCTTTCTTTATACCACTTAGCAGAGTGCTTGGCATATCACAGATGCTTAATAAATGCAAGTTAACTGACTATTTCTGTTTCTCCCTTCATTAATCTTTTCCTAAATACCCTTCCACCATGCTCTCCCCTGGCTTACCTCCCCATTCCCCCACTCCCATTCCTAGATTTATTCATATGTGTTTCTTTTTCAATATCATAATGCTACTTAAACAGTCCATCTCTTTACATTATCTTTTCTTTTGAAAAAGGTACAATTTTCCAGAGTATTGGGTCAGTCATAAGTCCTATCCCACAAAATCTTAGCAATAACTATGAGGTCAAATTTGTCTCCTGGTGTTAGGATCCCTAGTTCACCTTACAGATCACTGCAGGTTGCTGTGAGAAAAGCATTTTGTTTACCTTACGTTGTGAATATGTGAATTGTCATTTATTATTAGCAATAGCAGTAGAGTCAAGAATAATAACATGCATACTGTGTAAGTTAGTCAGGATGCAAAACTACCTATGGACTTTGCCCCTTTCAGAGGTTTTCCTGGGCTGGCCCCCATCGTGTTTGTGTTTAACAAGCATCCCCCAAGCCTACCCTCCTTAGAGAACATCATTCACTTGCTAAGCAGTTTTGGCTCAGGTCCTCTCAACATTTCAGCTTGGATTTTGTAACAGGCCAAATTCCAAGCCAAAGCGGGATAAACAAGATTGCATGGCTAATGATTTGTGAGCCTGCCCGGAATGCAATTTACTGGAGAATTTCAGCTGAGGAGACTTTGTAACCCACTAATAGAGCACTGTGCGGTAGTTCCAACCGGACAGATTTCCCAGGCCCTGCAGGGTGGCTGTCTGCTGGCTTTTTTTTTTTTCAATCCTGTTCATTCAGGAACTGGGACCCTTGCCAGTAACTGGGAAATTGTTTTTGCTTTAACCTGGCTTTTTCATCAATTCCTAAATTTAGTTGAGTGACAATGTCTCCACCATGGATGTGAAGAGTTGAGGAAATGATCAAGAGACCTGAGGTGCAAATACCACCATTTGGGACCAGTTGGTTTGAGAGTGACTGACCAGTATACCCGCTCTGCTATTGCTATGGGCGTATGGTTGTGGCATAGCTGATATTTTATTACTACTAAAAGTAGACTTACTCCCCCTTCTCCCTCTCCACTCATATGTCTTTATCATGCCCAGCCGATTTAACTTCTGTAACCACTCTTCATGTGTCCCCTCCTTTCTCTTCCTATTCCTAGTTACCACCATCATTAACAATCTACCCAGACGATTTTAATTACTTCCTAACAGGTCTTTCCAGGCAACTAGGTGGCCCAATGGCTTGAGTGCCAGGCCTGGAGTCAGGAAGACTCATCTTCCTGAGTTAAAATCTGGCCTCAGACACTAGATGGGTGACTCTGGGTAAGTCACTTAACCCTGCTTGACTCACTTTATCCTTATCTGTAAAATAAGCTGGAGAAGGAAATGGCAAACCACTGCAGTTATTTTTGCCCCCAAAAAACTCAAATGGGGTCATGAAGAGTCAGACACAACTGAAATGGCTGAATAACTACAACAGCAGGTCTTTCGACTTCCACTCTGTCCTCACTCCAAATCACCCTTCAGACAATGCCAATAAAATCTTTCTTAACCACAGATCGGGTTATAGTATGATTCTGCTTGAAAGTCTTTAGTGGCCCACTGTTGCCTACCCAGTAAAGCTCTTTTATCCTGGCATCGAAAGCCCTCCACAATTTATTACCACTTTAACTTTCTAGTCTTATATCATTCCCCTCAACCCTCTTTAGAATACAGCAAAATTGGTCTATCAGACCACACCCTCTTCTGTCATGTCTTCTTGACTTTGCAGAGGGAGACTGAGGATGTCATGAGGTTGCCTAAGTCTGTAATGTCTGTACTTTTGATCATGATCCATTAATTTCTATTCATCCTTTAAAGCCCAACTAAAATTGTCATCCCATCCAGGATGGCTTCTTCCTCTGTTGGCAATAATCTTTCTCTTACAACTCACATATCTCTATGTTATACCTTTCTAACATGCTGATCATGTAATGTTGTATATTATAGAAGACAAGGTGGCATAATGGAAGCTGCACTGGATTTGGAAGCAGAGGACTTGGGTTTAAATCCTGACTTTGCTGTGTGACATTGAGTGAGTCGTCTAACTGCTCTGGATCTCATCTGTAAAATGAAGGGTCAAACACAAAAGAAACACATAAAACAAACAGGAGTCACTAAGATCCCTCCCAGCTCTAAATCTATGATACTACTGTAACTCTCCTTTCACTTCCCCCCCTTTGGAGTGCACTCAACTGGCCTTTTAGGAAAGTGAATGGAAGCTTAGGATGGGCTTGTTTCTGGCCATGTGAGATGAAGAGTCCCTTATCCCATCTCAGAATTTCTGCAATATTCTCTTTCTGGTTTCCATCTCCAGTCCACCTGATCTATATCTTACCACTGGCCCCTGATGGCTTGGAAAGAGAAAGTGAGGCTGGTGACTTTGCACAGCCCAGCCTCACTTCGATCCAATTCACTTGCAAGTCAAGGCATCACCTTCCTGATGTCATGGTCCTCTTCAAGAATGAAGGACAAACAACAACAAGGGTTGGTGAGCTTTCTCGTAGCCATGAATAACTGAGTTCTAGAACTGTGGAAGGACAGTCTTCCAGTTGATGGAAGAGCCAGAAGCATAGACAACCCCAAAGAAGCTGAGCCAGCCTACGGCATACATACAAAAGATGAAAGCAGAGGACCTTCCGCTCTTCCCTGGCTATTTTACAATTGCAAAAACTCTTATGAGCCCCTAGACAATGGGAGAGATCTCCTCAACCAGCAACCCTATGGCCATGAATGCATGGTGCCCCAGTTTCTTTTGTGTTTATGATTTTCTGATATGGGGTACATAAATATCCAGATATCACAAGGTATGACCTTGTGAGCTTGTAAAAGTCAATCATAGTCAGTAGCAGAGACCACTGGAGCCAATAGCAACAGGATGTGAGTCTGATGAGGGGCCAGCCCAGAAACTAAGCCACCTGCTTAACTCAGCCCACCTAAGCATGGGTGGCCATTTCTTCATCACCATTGCAACAACCCAAAGTGAACTTGGTGAGGATTCTTCAAAGGGAGAAAAGGACTCCCAGGGCAAGCAGACTAAAAATAGTCTTCTGCCCCATTTGTTCCTTACATGTGTCTCATTGCCTTTGTGATTAATTTCTTTTTCTTTTTGTTCTTTTTTAAATAGTATTTTATTTTTTCCCAATTGTATGTCATGATAATTTTTAGAATTCATCTTTACAAGATTTTGAGTTCCAGATTTTTCTCTCTCCTTCCCTCCCCTTCCCTCTTCCTAAAATGGTAGGCAATTTGATATAGATTATATATGTGCAATTATGTAAAACATATTTCCATATTAGTCACAGTTGTGAAAGAAGAAATGGATCAAAAGGGAAAAAAACCACACAAAAAAGAAAGTAAGTGAAAAAAAGTATGCTTTTGATCTGCATTCGGAGATCAGTTCTGTATCTGAATAGGGATAGGATTTTCCATTATGGGTCCTTTGTACTTGTCTTGGATCATTGTGTTGCTGAGAAGAGCTAAGTCATTCCTAGTTGGTCAT